TCACTCTCTACATACGTTAAGCCTGGCCAAACAATATGTTATTTCTCTGTTTATTATCTCTGACTTGTAAGTTGTTATTTGGGTAATGCATTCATGAAATTTGTAAAGGTTTCCACACCTTGAAGCTCTGTGCTGTGCTGTGCTCAGGGCCGGACTGGCCCACCGGGCCGGCCCTTTAAATGCTGCAGCCGCCTGAGCGCTCTGCGAAGAGCCTCAGGCGGCTGCAGCTTCTCCCCTCTCCTCCCCTGGAGCGTGGCCGAGCTGCACTCCGGTCCGCGGCGGCCGGCCGGACTGACAGGAAGTGCACACTCAGTGTGCAGTGCACCTTCCTATCATTCTGTCCGGCCGGCCACCGCGGACCGGAGTGCAGCTCGGCCACGCTACAGGGGAGGGGGTAAGAAGAGGGGAGGGGAATAAAAAGAGGGGAGGGGGGAATAAGAAGGGGATAAGAAGAGAGGAGGGGACAAAGAGAGGAACAGAAGAGGAGGGGAACAAGAAGAGGAGGACAAAAAAGGAACAAGAAGAGGAGGAATGAAGAAGAGTGGAGGGGATAAAAAGGGGAATAAGAAGAGGGAGGGGGGAATAAGAAGAGGGAGGGGGAAGAAGAGGGAGGGAGTAAGAAGAGGGAGGGGGAGAAGAAGGAGGAGATAAGAAAGAGGGGGGTAAGAAGAAGAAGAAGGGGTGAGTAAGAAAAAGAGTGGGGAGTAAGAAGAAGAAGAGTGGGGAGTAAGAAGAAGAAGAGGGGGTAAGAAGAAGGGTGAGTATGAAGAAATGGGGGGAGTAAGAAGAAGAAGGGGGAATAAGAAAAGGGGAGGGCTGAGTAAAAGGGAGAGGGGAATAAGAAAGCTGGGGAGGGCGGAGTAAGAAGGAGGGGAGATAAGAAAAAGAGGGGGGTAAGAAGAAGAAGAAGGGGTGAGTAAGAAAAAGAGTGGGGAGTAAGAAGAAGAAGAGTGGGGAGTAAGAAGAAGAAGAGGGGGTAAGAAGAAGGGTGAGTATGAAGAAATGGGGGGAGTAAGAAGAAGAAGGGGGAGGAAGAGGAAGAAGAAGAAGGGGGGGGTAAGAAGAAGAAGGGGGAGCAATAAGAAGAAGGGGGGTTAAGAAGAACAGGTGGGGGAGTAAGACGACCAAGGGGGGAAGTATGAAGAACATAGGGAGGAGGGGGGTAAGACGAACACAGGGGGTGTGAGGAGAACACATAGAGGGAGGAGTGAGAAGAGCACAGGGAGGGTGGGTGAGTGTGAGAAGAGACCGCTAGGGGAGGGTGGGGGAGAGGAGAGACCGCTAGGGGAGGGTGGGGGAGAGGAGAGACCACTAAGGTGCAGGGGAGAGCTCTACGGGACAGAAGGGGCAGCTCTATAGGACAGGGGCCAAGACAGGGAGCTCTTTCACACTACGCGCGCGCACACACACACAATGCATCCCTATACATACACAAAAACACAACATGCTTCCCTTACACACAGAGAAACACACAATGCATCCATTACACACACACACACAATGCAACCCTTACACACAAAGACAATGCATCCTTTGCACACATACACAGAAACAGACAATGCAAACCCGTACACACACATGCAAACACACACACTTCTTTTCTTACATACACACAGAAACACAATGCATCTCTTACACTCAATGCACACACATACAGACACACACCTTGCATCCCTTATGCATACAAACACAGATTCACACAATGCATCCCTTACACACAACCAGAAACACATAATACATACTGCTTCCACTACACACAAACACACTACATCACCTGCACAAACTGGTAACCCTATACACTACATACCATAAGCACACATATTAGATCCTCTACAATAACACATCCCCTACACACTCCACTCCCTGTGAGCGAACTCATGGGTGGGTGGAACTTATGAGTGGGCCTTATGGGCATACTCACCGTCAGGCCCTGGGGCCCAGACCTTGAGCTGTGTAAGGGGCCCCAAAAAAAATGGAGCTGCTTCCAATTCTCCCAGAACATTGAATTTTGTGACCACAGTTGCAAACAGCCTCCAGAGATCCTGTTCTACACCAGACCAGTGGAGCCAAACTGCAGCCCATCATTATCCTCATCTGCTTGTAAGTAGGCAATCTAGTATATTATTAGTGACACTAATCTATAATGTACCTCACATTAAAGGGACACTATAGCTTAATGAAGTGGTTCTGGTGTCTATAGCTGGTCCCTGCAGGCTTTTTAATGTAAACACACACTGTGTGCAGCACTGGCGCTAGTTCATATGGGTGGGGCATTGTGATGTTACATGGGGGGGCAGCAAATTTTTATTTTGTCTAGGGCGGCAAAAATCCTTGCACCGGCTCTGATCCTGGGCAGGTGCACCAGTCTACTGGTGACCCACAAGAGGGGAGTGCACTGATTGCACTGCACTTTCCTCCTGTCCAGCCCCATCTTTACCGCAGTGCAAGTGCCCTCTGCCCCTAATTTACAGTGGCTCACACTCACAACAAGCAGTGCCTGGAGCCGTGAAGGAGCCGGTATGGCAAAGAGCTACTGATTAGCATAACATCAATATCCGTTATAAAACCAGGAAAAGGTGGGCATGGATGGTGAACTGATTTGGTGGTGCAATGGGCCACTTGACTGGTTTTGCCCCCCAGGCCTAAGGCTGCCAGCCCTCCCCTGTATATACGCATACATACACTCACTCACTCACACATACTCAGACACACACACACACTTACAGACACATACACTCACAGACACACACACATACAGGGGGGGACTGACCACTCGGGCAGATCGGTCATGGACTGAGGCAGTCAGGGGCCCGGCTGGCTGCACTAACATGCTCTGGCTGGGGAGATCAGATCACAGATCTCCCCAGCCAGAATTGTACATATTCCAGCGATAGGTTGCTCCTGCAACCTATCTCTTTCTGTTTCCCCCCTCTGCCTCCCCTCCACCCCCACCTTCTGAGACCTGGTAGTGATCCTGCGGCTTCTGCCAGGTCTCCTCAATGCAATGTCTGCGGAGCTCCGAAGTTACCTCACTTCCTGTCCTGCAGAATCTGCTGAACCCTGGCAGACAGCAGGTAAGTAAATATTATTTTTTAAGCTAATATCCCCCCTTACTCAGCCCAGCCCCTGTGCCCCCCTTCACCCATCCCAGCCCCTGTGCCCCCCTTCACCCATCCCAGCCCCTGTGCCCCTTTTCACCCATCCCAGTACTTGTGCCCCTTCACCCAGCCCAGCACCTGTGCCCCCTTCACCCAGCACAGTGCCCCCCTTCACCCATCCCAGCCCTGTGGCCTCCTTTCACCCATCCTAGCCCCTGAGCCTCCTTTCACCCATCCTAGCCCCTGAGCCTCCTTTCACCCATCCCAGCCCCTGAGCCCCCTTTCACCCATCCTAGCCCTGTTACCCCTTCAACCATCCCAGCACCTGTACCCCCTTCACCCATCCCAGCACCTGTACCCCCTTCACCCAGCCCAGCACCTGTACCCCCTTCACCCAGCCCAGTACTTGTGCCCCTTCACCTATCCCAGCACCTGTACCCCCTTCACCTATCTCAGCCCTTGTGCCCCCTTTCACCCATCCCAGCCCCAGTGCCCCCTTCACCCATCTCAGCTCCAGTGCCCCCCTTCATCCATCCCAGCCCCTGTGCCCCTTCACCCAGCCCAGCCCCTGTGTCCCTTCACTCATCCTAGCCCATGTGCTCCCTTCATGCATCCCAGTACCTGTGCTCCTTCACCCATCCCAGCCCCTGTGCCCCTTCACCCAGCCCAGTACCTGTGCCCCTTCACCCAGCCCAGTACCTGTGCCCCCTTTACCTATCCCAGCTCCTGTACCCCTTCACCCATCCAAGCCTCTGTGCCCCCATTTTCCTATCCCAGCCCCTGTGCCCCTTCACCCATCCCAACCCCTGTGCCCCTTCACTCATCCCAACCCCTGTGCCCCTTTACCCATCCCAGCCCCAGTGCCCCCTTCACCCATCCCTGCCCCAGTGCCCACTTTCATCAATCCCAACCCCAGTGCCCGCTTCACCCATCCCAGCCCCTGTGTTCCCTTTACTCATCCCAGCCCCTGTGCCTCATTCACCTATCACAGCACCTATCACCTGTGCCCCCTTTACCCATCCCAGTCCCTATGCCCCCTTTATCCTTCCCAGTCCATGTGCCTCTTTACCCATCCCAGCCCCAGTGCTCCCCTCACCCAGCCCAGCACCTGTGCCCCCCTTGATCCATACCAGCCCTTGTGCTCCCTTCACCCATCCCAGCTCCAGTTCCCCTCTTTACCCATCCCAGCCCCTGTGCCCCTTTCACCCATCTCAGTGCCTCCTTCACCCATCTCAGCTCCAGTGCCCCCCTTCATGCATCCCAGTACCATGTGTGCCGCTTCACCCATCCCATTACATGTTCCCCTTCACCCAGCCCAGTACCTGTGCTCCCTTTACCTATCCCAGCCACTGTACCCCTTCACCCATCCCAGCCCCTGTGCCCCCCTTTTCCTATCCCAGCCCCTGTGCCTCCCTTTTCATTTCCCAGCCTCTGGGCCCCTTTTTCCTATCCCAGCCTCAGGGCCCCCATTTTCCCATCCCAGCCCCTGTGCACCTTCTCACCCATCTCAGCCCTGTGCCCCCCTTCACCCATCCCAGTACCCAGCTCCCCTTTATCCATCCCAGCCCCCAGCTCCACCTTCCCTGTCCCAGCCCCTGTGCCTCCACCTTCCCCTATCCCAGCCCCTGTGTGTCCCTTTGCACCCATCCAAGCCCATGTGCCCCCTTTACCCATCCAAGCCCCTGTGCCCTTTACCAATCCCAGGCCCTGTGCCCCCTTCACCCATCCCAGTCACTATGCCCCTTTATCCATCGGAGCCCCCTTTCACAGCCCCTCTGCCCTCTTTATCCATCTGAGCCCCTATGCCCCTTCACCCACCACAGCCCCTATGCCCCTTTACCATCCCAGATCCCACTCCCCCTTCACCCACTACAGCCCTATCGCTCTCATTCCTATCCTTCCCTGTACCCACCACAGCCTCTGTGCCTTCTTGTACACTCCTCAGCCTCTCATTCTCCCTGTACCCACCTCACCCCATGCCTTCCTGCACCCACTGCAGTCCTCATCACTCTCACCCCTATCCCTCCCTGCACTCACTACAGCCCCTATCCCTCACTGCTCCCACTGCAGCCGCTATCCCCCCACCGTCCGTATGCCCCCCTGCACCTACTATAGCCCATATCCCCCTCATGCACTGTAGCCACTATCCACACACATACTGCAGCCTCTGTATTTCCCCCACACAGTAGAGCCTCTAGTATCATACAAACATACACTACAGTCCCAGCTGCCTACTATAGCCACTATCCCCCCTACACACAACAGCCCCTATCCACACACTCTCTGCAACACAACCAGCCCTCTCCACTAACATAAGACACTGCAAACAGCTCCATACACACACACACACACACACACAAACCCACAAGGAACCTCACTGTATGCACGTAATCCCACAAACAGCATTCCCACACATTCAATACCACATGCAGACTCCCTACACAAACATCACAAGAGGCATCCCCAGCATGGCAATACTGCATACAGCCTCCTTATACACACACACATCACAAGAGGCATCCCCAGCATGGCAATACTGCATACAGCCTCTTTATACACACACACACACATCACAAGAGGAATCCCCAGCATGGCAATACTGCATACAGCCTCATTATACACACACACACATCACAAGAGGCATCCCCAGCATGGCAATACTGCATACAGCCTCCTTATACACACACACACATCACAAGAGCAATCCCCAGCATGGCAATACTGCATACAGCCTCCTTATACACACACACATCACAAGAAGCATCCTCAGCATGGCAATACTGCATACAGCCTCCTTATACACACACACATCACAAGAGGCATCCTCAGCATGGCAATACTGCATACAGCCTCCTTATACACACACACACACGTCACAAGAGGCATCCCCAGCATGGCAATACTGCATACAGCCTCCTTATACATACAAACGCAATTATTACAATTACTTATATAGCACCAACATATTCCGCAACGCAGTACAATAGGTAAAACAAGTCAAACAATTAATTCTAATTCAACATGTTGACATACAGGAACACAAGCAGCATCCCACACATGCAACCACACAAGTAGCCTCCAAACACATGTGTTTGGAGGCTGCTTGTATGGTTGAACATGTGGGGGATGCTGCTTGTGATGTCACCAACAAACACAGAGGAAGTGCTTAATTAAATTTGCTTTATGTCTTTATTTTAATGAGGGGGGGGGGGGAGCGTAAGGCAAGCTATTAAGGGGTACTCCACTCAAAACAATATTTTATTAAAACACTGTTTTTGGTTGGATTAACCCTTTAAAGTATATCTGGCCCTGTTTGGGGGATGCCATGACTCACACAGCCATGCTGGGTAGCGCGCACATATCTGGATGAGAGCTGCACAAAGACCTTGCACCAGGAGGGTGATCTCCTATTGACCGAGGGCCCTATAAGTTGTCAGTCCGCCCCTGCACACATACATTCACAGACACACACACTCACAGACATACATTCACAAACACAAACACTCACACACACATACATTCACAGACACACACACTCACAGACACTCACACACATACATTCACAGACACACACTCACACATACATTCACAGACACACACACTCACAGACATACATTCACAGACACTCACACACACACTCAGACACAAATTATTATTATTTTTAATTAAAAATTGTCCACCCAGCCTCCCCACCTGGACAGCTGGCGTGGACTTGTCCCTGGGATCCAGTGGGTCGGACGCCTGTTTCCATACAACAAGCGGCGAGGGAGCTATGTGCTCTCTGCTTCCTATCGCCGTGCGGGCTGTCTGCTGTACCTGGGAGCCGGAATATGATGTCATATCCTGGCTCCCGGCATCAGCAAACAGCGCGTGGCGAGAGAAAGCAGAGAGCACACAGCTCCCTCGCCGCTTGTTGTATGGAGACAGGCGCCCGACCGGGGGTGGGGGAGGGGACATGGGGAA